TTCTCAGAGTGATCAAAGCGTAATGGATGGCAGAGGCTGCGATTAGAAGACGTTTGCAGAAGAAAATTGAGTGAAACCAATGACGAAACCAATGACGAAACCATTGAATGGTAGATCATCGTTGAGCAGAGTTCCAGGTGGCAAACAGCAGTGTTTGAAGGAGTGAAGCAGGCAGAGGATGCGCGAAACAAAGTCCTCAAAACACAACGAGCAATAAGGAAACCAAATTAAACCGGAGTGAAGCTGCACTTGTGAGAAGTGCAGCCGAGACTTCCTTTCCATGATCGGCCTCGTAAGCCATTTGATGAAGCGTCCATAGCTAGTACATTGTCTTTCCAAGAATTATACCATATAAATGCTGATAAAACACGTATCATTTATGAGGTGTTTTTTTTTACTTGGGATAGTTTTTTTTTATTTAAGTGGTTTTTATTTTTTTATTTTTTTTAACGAGCTTAAATTATGTTGTTTTTTAGGGAAAGTGTATGCCAAGACCTTTGAAAAGTGAGTGCTTGAAACAAGGTGCTATTTATAAAGCTAAACTACATTATACTATTAACTTAAAATGTTGTACTTTTTTTTAATCTCTAATTGAAACATAACTATGTAAATACATACTTTCTCATTAAAACGTGTAAAATAAGTCTTAAGTATTATTTTCCAGTGTCTTTAAAATGGAATTATTTCTCCAATGTTTAATTTTGAATTATTTCACTATTCTACTGGGTGCTTCTAGACCCGGGGCTTGGGGGAGAAGAGGAGGGATGTTATTAGAAAGTTCTAATTATGATTTTTGACGCCATTTGATTTTAAAAAAAGTAATACACTTATTGACTTCAATGGAACCTTCATGCATTCAATCTAACACTACTAAGGTTCAACTCGTCATTTTAAAAAAAAAAATGTATAGTAATATAGTGTAAAAAAGTGTATGTAAGGCTTGTCGACCCAAAGCGGAAAACTTTTTAAAGCTTAACCCCACCCTCTCCCCTGAGTATTTGATTCTGGCCAATGATAGACATGTGTGCCAAGATTGGTCAAGATCAAACAATTCATCTATACATGTGTGATGAAAAAAAACTCACCCACAAATTTTCACTTGTAGACACATTTATAACTTAAAGGATAAAATACATGACACATAATTTGATAATTTTGAAATGAGGATTTGTTGATTTTTTCATAAATATTTATAAAAAATGTTTCATAAATTTTGTTTAGAAGAGGTCCAAAGCATCATTGAAAACAGTGAAAAGCAACAATAAATTAGATTTATGGGTAAAAATCTTTTAATTACTATTGTTTTTTTAATGAGGCATCGTTATTTAAACATAAATATCAGACTAATTTAATTCAATTTTTTTTAAAATGGCTTTTTTCTATGCATAGTTTGTCACCTCGAGATGCTTTTTATTTCCTATCCTTCTCTCAGTCCCAATGATTTTTTTTCCTACTTTTCATCTAGCCCATTCAGTCGATATTGCATGTTCATTTTCTTTATATTTTATCTTCGTTTTAATGTAAATTTTATTACGCTGTGTTCTCTTTTTTTATTCATTTAAACCTTTAAATTTACCGTATTTTTTTAAAGTAGTACTGATTGGCTTTTATGGTCGCTATGTCATTTTTTTTTATTCAGGTTCAACGACTTAAAAAGATTTCTTTAAACTTTGTTATTCTATAACTTTTTGAACTATTGATCTTTGCTTAATCCATAAGTCAGATATCTTACCTGTAGCCCGTGAATCTTGTTGAAAATAATTTGATTCATATAGCACTGTTCTTAGCCATGTCTTATTTCGATTCATTTTTTTGTATGTCCCTTTCAGCACTATTGAAATTTTGTTTTTGATATTGCTTTTTTAAGCACATATCGTGTAAGTTGCCTTTGATAGCTGTATCTCATAGATCAAATATTGTTGTTTTTTTTCATTCTTGTTAACAAATCTGACTTAAATCGTTTTAAAAATCCTCCAAATACATCCTCAATAATACACGGCTTTTTTTCTTGCATTCTTTTTGGTCAGGAATGCTTCAAACGTTACAGCAGAACGTTGGCCTTTGATATAAACAAAGAAAATGATAGAAATGTATATTATTTTTATATCTCCAAACCTTCAATTTTGAGTTCATGAGCAATCACATTAAATTGTTCAAAATGAATTAGGTAGCAAATTACAGATTAAATAGTTTTTAATACTATATGTTCTAACTCTTTTGATTCATTGACCATTTTGGGGTTCAAATGCCTTAAGTTAAAAATAAACAAAAAACCGCCACCAGGTTTGGGGGAGGGGGGAGGTCGACAGAAAAGAAATTATGGAGATATTTCAGGTGATTTCATGATAAAATAATAATTATAAAATTTAAGATAAACTCGATGAAATGTTTACTTATCATTTATAATAAGCATCAAAATTATACATCATTATTCTGAGTGAAAATCAAATTATTTTGCAAAACTATCGTTAAAGATGTTATCATAGGTGTTGTTTGAGGGAAATGTAGAGCAGATATATGTTTTAAATATGTTTATATTTTCCGTTTACTTACAGATAAATCACATCTTGTCCCAGAAAGAGTTAAAAAGGATCTTCACAGGAATTGTACGTGGTCCAAACACAATCTAGGAGATATTCGATTTGTACCAGTCACTGATTGTAACATAAATAATGTGCTTAAAGCAAGTGGTGATAACGATTTCTTTTAGTTTGTTAAAAGTTTGGCTGACCTCACAAATCAAGTTGATGATAAGATGACTAGCGCAGAAGGTACACCTGCTACTTAGTTCTTTTTGCGTGTTTGGCAAATGTATGGGCAAATGTAAAATATTATTCTATTAATTGTAGCCTACATTTTATTGAAACAAATGTATTAGAAAAATATATTAAATAAAATATTTTTATTATTATTAACAATAACACTTGACCTGTTTACAAGCACATTTAATTTTTTTTTAAAAATTAAATCATATCGTTATTGTCACCCAAAGTAATTTTAATTTTATTTGTTATACCTTTCTTAAAATTAAATAATATAGTTTTATTTTTTTTTTTGTCAATCATATTAACAATGACATTCAAAATAGTATAACATATAGTTAAACGCATTTGATATGTAAATGAATAAAACATTCTGTTTTATACATTTACATATCAAATACAAGGTGTACATCTCATAAAAGGCTGATTTCAAATTCTTAATGCATGGACTCAAGAGCTATAAAAGTATTCAATAAGTATTTAACGATACTTAAATTACTATTTGAAACTAGATGTAACCCTCCAAACATTGGCGACAGCAATGTGTGAACTTGCCATTTACTAAAGGTACTTGACAAAAACGTGAACGCAAGTTACGCACAATTAAGAATGCCAATTTTGCTACACACTCCTTCCACCCCTTTCATGATACGTCACTGCAAACTTTTTATTTCACGCCCATGAACTATAGCCGACCCGCGGGTTAGCAGACGCCGCGAGCTTGGCTGGCAAGCGAGGGTGGTGGAGGGGGTGCGGTAACTCCATCGCAGTGCACATGTCTCGAGACCAACGATGGGCAGGCAAGGGAAGGGTGGAAGGGTTTGCTTGCTTTCTCTGGCGTATCTATATATAGCCTGCGTGCTGTTTGACCCATCTTGTTTTTTGCCCTACTTCTTCTGGAGAATTATATCTTTAGATGGATTATCAACATTATATTTAGAAAATTTTGTCTTTTGATTCAGTTGGGGTAAATTTTTAATTTAAAAAGTTGTTTTTTGCAAGATCCTTAATTAAATTTGAATAATATATTTCATGGTTGTGATTTTCTTTTTTTTAGGTTTGTAAAATGCACTAGAAACTGTATTAACTTTTTTGTCAATTTTACCATTACATAGTAAACAACTCTTTGTGTTTGATTTAAACTGGTGCACAATCTGACATGAAAAGCTTCAGGCAATAAATATATATGTATCAGATGCATTATAAGTAAAACCATTAATAAAACGTCTGATTGTAGCGCCATGTTAATTTACACTAGCTATACCAATAGTATGCATATTTAAAAAAAATTACTACACTTTTTTTCTACAAGACTGCTGAGCTCCTCATCATTAGTTCATGACCAGCGGAAAAGATTTGCTAAACGGTCTTTCTTGGTGTAATGCATTTTAAGAAATTTTAAATTATTTTTTACTTTTTCGTGCATTTTGTTAAACAGTTTCTTTTAAAAAGTGTTTATTTTTATAATTAATTTTTTATAACAAAGCTTTACTATAATGTTTAGTCTTAAAGTTTCTTAAATAATCAAAGCCTTAAGTGAAATTGTAATTGAAATATGGTTTATTTATATTGTTTTATGTGATGAAAGTGGAGTTACTTTATAAAACTTGAAATATCAAATCAGTTAAACACACAACTTATTCTAATGTACTATTAACTTCATTTACGGATTTATGTTTTATTTGTTATTTTAATGTTTAAAATTTACAAGACCATTCTTTTTTAAATTTTAAAATATTATAGCTTTTTATTTTTGTTTATTTTAAAAACCATTCTAATGAGAATTTCTCAATCAACTTAATAAATTGGAAAGGAATTTCCACTTCATTCTTTTTAAACACTATCGCACTAATAGAAATGACAGTAATTTGTCTCTAATCAGTTTAATTGGGCGGATTTTGTTGTCCATATAGTTTAAATTGTTTTAAAAAACATTTTCTTTGCCAACATCAAAATGTGGAACTTGATAAGTGTTATGGACATTGAAATCTCCTAACTCAAATAATCATTATTTAGTAGTTCTTTTGTGTGTGTGTGTGTGTATGTGTCTAAGTGTTAAGCGCGTATTTTAAAAGTTGTTTGAAGAGCAAAAGAAAATTTCTAACATATTTTAGTTTTGATGAAGGTACATAAATATTGGTAAACAATAACAACAATGTTTAATGATGCATTTGTTAAAAAGGAAAAACCAATGTATGTGTAGAAAGTTTTTATTGTAATTGATGTAAAAAAACTATACATAATATAACTAAAAATTAAAAAAAGGTTAAATGTATCTTTATAAAATTTTGGTCTTAATTGTAATTTAATGATTATGGTACCGGTAAGATAAAAAACAAAAGAAAAATTCATTTATCTTGCAGAAATGACGTTTTTTAATGACGTACATTAATACCGGCATAAATGATCTATATATTTCTCGAGATTCATATCACAAAATGTACTACTGTACATTTTTGTTTTGTCTTGTTTCTGTAATGGATAGTTAATACACTTTTCAAGAAAAAAAAGTAAATAAACGATTCACACACATATATATAAGACCAAGTAACTAAAATCTATGAAACACCTTTTTAATATAGAAAACAAGAGGGTATTAGCGAATATATATACAAATTAAAACAAATTTAATATTAAAAAGTTAATTAATAAAACAACAGATCTAATGTGTTTGTAAAACTGATTATAAAAAAGTAAGTAATGGAATGTAAAACCAAAACAACAAAAAATAATAGCTTAAATTATTTAATGGCACAAAGGTAATAACAATATATGTTTAAAATAGAGATGTTCAAGAAATTTGAAAGGAATATGGGAAGGGCAGTTTTGGAGAAACTCAAAAAAGAGGTTATAAAACAACAAAAGTGTTGGAGAGAAGCCTTTTTAAACAAACACATACAGGAAAAAAATCAAAATGAACAGCTTCAGTGTAGTGTGCGAGAAATAAGCAAGAGAGAGGTCTTATTATCAGAAATTTAAAAGTTACTCAAAAAAAAAATGTTTCATAAACCTAAAACACTATTAAAATGCATGCAAAGTCATCAAAAATAATTAAACAACACAAAAATTGGCTTATCACAGTAAATCGATTAATGGACTTATTAAAAAAAATAAACTTTCGATGACATATAAACATTGGAAAATGCCAAACTATTTATAATTAATACATTTCTTGAATGAAACATGTTTGAAATTGTTACATTTGATTTATCTACTTTTGTATGAGTGTTTTAGAAACTTAAACTAGTTCAGGGTTCCTCAAACTTTTTCATCAGGAGGACGGTTCACTGCAAACTGCACATATTTAAGTTTGGTGTTAAAAAGAGGATACACATATTTTTTTATAAATTAAAACTTTAATGAATTTAAAACTTTTAGTAATGCAACATGAGTAAAGTAATCATTTATGCTGATGAGATCGCAATGTTCGTTAGCATATTTGTACTTGCTATTTGTATGGCAGATAAGTGCGTTGGATGCTTGGCGATTCGGAACTGGCCTTTGGGCTGCACTTTGAGGTCTCTTGAACTAGCCCATTTACAATTATAACGGTTATATCTCTTTTACTTAAAAAGTTAATGCTTTTGGTTGAACAAGGTAATTTAAAAAATTCAGAAGGGACATCTAAAAGTATGTAGTTTAATATATTCCAGATGAAATAAATGTATCAATTGGTAAAAGGGACAAAACCATTACATATTAATAACGTAAAGAGCAAGCACTTTGCGGTTCTTGAAAAACATATTATTTTCTTCTATATTTTGAGGGCCCACGATCAATGAATTGATCATTCTGGCTCATATGTTTCAGATGGGTTTATTATGTTACTGTGCATGGTTATCCTGTGATATCAATTATTTACTATTCGTTAATGTGATATTCCTTTTTAATTATTAGTACCTAGCATAATTCACAGCAGCAGAGACAAATCAGCCATGGAATTATTTCTAAATAGCGTGAGCCATTTTATTTTATTTTTAACAGCCCCTTTTTGTGTTGGCTATCAATTTTTAATATATATTTTTGTCAGTAATAGTTCTTAAAGTCAGTTGAAACCCCCCCCCCCTCCTTTTTCCCATGATCTAAGGTCAGACATGAAAGCAAGTTGCAAAATCATACGGAGTGTTCAATATTTTTAAACTTTATAATATAAAATAAATATTACTTTTTATTATTTTTTTCAAAAATATATATGAAAAAATATTTTTAAACATCCCATCTTTGCTTAGTAAAAATAAATAACCAAAAACATTATTTCTTTTCAAAACTAAAACCAGACATCCTTTGTAAAATCTTAAACTACAAAAAAAAAATAAGACAACCACTAAGCTAATTTAATTACTAAAATTTTCTTTTTGTTTCAATAACAAAAACTAAATGTTTCATTTTTTTTAAGCAATGAAATGGTACGTTGTTTGAAAATAGTAGGAGACACATTAACAAAATAAATCAAATAAATATGATTGAGTTGTATGAAAGAATTTTAAAATAAAACTATTCCGCTTAATGTTAGTTAAAATAAAATATATGCAAATTAACATCACAATTAATAACAAGCTGAAAGTGACATTGTAATTTTACAAAGATTTCACCAGCAGCAAATGACATTTTAAAGCAAAGATATTTAATTTTTTTGTTTAAACTATCTTTTAAAAAAAGTTTTTACTCAACTTACTACAAGCTGATAAAGATAAATATGTACCAGAACAAAACCAGCATGACTTTCAATTTTTAAAAAAAAATTAAAATTATAACAATTATTTAAATTTTGTTTTTATTACAGTATCACAGTTATTTTTTTTTTCTTTTGGTTTCGGAGATGGATTTTACCAATAGAAAAAATAGACTATAAATTTAGAAACATTTGATTAGTAAATGTTAAATAATTATTTAATTTATTTTACTCTTAATAATTCATTTACTTTTTTTAGATACCATAAACTAAAACTGTATTTCTATTAATTTTCTTACCATTAAACGTAATTACTCCTATGTCCCTTCATGATTTAAATTTCATCTCCTCTTCACACAATGCAGAATTCCTATAAGTTACATAAATATAGACTATCTATAATACAGTTAATCTTGTATTTCTTAAAGTGATTGTTTTTGAAAAAGAGTGTTTAAATAGTTCTCATTAAAATGATTTTGTGTATTTAGTTGACGTAAAATGTATAGACTAATTGCCATATTGTGTTGCGTATATATTTTTTATAAATAATTTGAAAGTTGAAACTATTTTTTAAAATTATCTTTTAATATAATCGCTAATTTTAATAAATCAGTTGCAGTGGACGTTAATTGTATGTGATAATAAAATAATATGGTAATATAACAATTTTTAAGAGAAGAGAACACTTTTTTTTTTTTTTTTTTTTTTTTTTTTTTTTTAAAAAGTTATTTATTTTTTTTTATTTTTTTTTTATTGTTGTAAAAAGTGACTAGATTGTGTTTAATTTTTTTTAACGTAAAACTTCAATCAATTTTATATTTAAAAGTAATCATTTAAAATCCGAACCATTCATTTTAAGTATCTAATATAAAGATGCAAAGTAAAGAGCAAAAATATTTTTAAATTTAATGGTCCGACGATAAAACAGAAGCAAATATTACGAAAAGTTTTAGATTAAAAATCACATTTCCATGAGGAAAAATTTGAGTCCCATCAGTTTAGTATGCTCTATTGACATTTTCAATGTAATATTAAAATTTAACTAATATCATTATAAACACCACCTGTTTTAAAATTTATTCTTTACGAAATACATAATAAATATGTAAGGAGGGAAAGAAATAGATGTGCTGAAAGACAACGAGCGTGTAATGAAACGATGTAATAATAAGAGATAGACTAATACAAAAGATGTGTTGATAATTGACTTACTTCCTAGTAGTCCAGAAAAAAGCCTGCTTTTGCTAATTTTAAAAGAAGATGATACATTTCAAGTAATTAAAAATAATCCTGTAATGAGGTTGACTTAAACACAAATTGAAAATAAAAGGAAAAATGTTATTTAGAGTATTTCAAAAAATTTTGAAATGCCAGTTATTCAAAACTTCGGTTACCCGTGTTATAGAGAGCTTATTTACATAATATTTCTCGTGCGTGCCCTCTGATTGACCCCGCATGAGACGCTGTGTTCACAAAGGGGTGTGGCTTAGGCTTTTGATGTATTCTTGTTTACACCGCCAGCTACTAAAAATAAGTAATCTGTTCCAAGTAGTGTTTTGTAGAATAGATGGGATTTTTCTAGAAATGTCATGTAGCTTGTAGAAGGCAGGGCTTAGGCGTCGGTAGACCCACCTGTATAAGCGATTGACAGGCACGGACAAGGACGGAGATTTCAGATAGATTTTCTTAACATTACGAGGCGTGTTTTATTCTTTGTGTATTTGTGTGCCCATATGTGTTTATTTCGCATTATTTATTGGCACATTATTCTAACTGTGTTAACTGTGCACCGGTACAAGATCTACCATACTGTAAGTTGAAGGTTGTAATTATATTTTTCTTTTCTTTTGTAATTATCTTAAGACATAATAAATATTGTTAATTGTAACTAGAAACTGTTTTGCGTCGTATCTTTAATATTGTTGACTCTATGGTATCGTCCTTTGTTAGGCACTGTTTACAACGAACCAAATTAAAATCAAAATAGGAGATTAATTTCTCCCAATACAAGTCAGTGCGTAACACCCGAAAAGGAATCCGTAAAAATATATAACTATTTTACGCGATGCGTTTTGTATGGAGAAACATTACCGTCCTCAGCCACATAATCCCGGTAAAATCAAGATTTTTGTATACGTGTTTTGGCGTGACTGGAGTAATGAAGTCATCAAATTTATTGGTCAGTGTAGTTGTTTATATAAAAGAAGAAAGTGACCTCTGATTTAATTCTAATTGCCCATGATCTATGTTTTGACACAGACAATTTTGCAGAAAGAAAAGATACAGCAGCCTGTACAGTTATTATTTATTACACCAAACCCCAATTTATCATTGAAGATAACGGTATATAATTTACTGTACGGTAGAGCACAGTATGTGTATGAGGTACGAATATATTGTTTCTCAACATTGACTTCTTTCACGCAAGATTTTCCCATTAGCTTTATCTAAAATAAAAAAAAAAACAGATCCAAACTTCACATTTTTAATCAAATAACCCACGCTCTATTTAATATTATACCGTGATTTAAAGATACATCAAATTTTAATAACAGACTCAGATGGGAATTTTTTTTTAATGCTGCCCTTACAAATAATTGAAAATAAAAATATAAGTCAAAGCTTATAAGTCCTATAATTTATGTCTACTATTTAAAGAGAAAAAATGGCCAAAGGGCTTTTTTACCCCCCCCCCCGCCCCCAAATAAAAAAAAAAAATAAAAATCAAAGCTTATAAGGCCTATAATTTATGTCTACTTTTTAAAGAAAAAAAAAGGCCAAAGGGCTTTTTTACCCCCCCCCCCCGCCCCCAAATAAAAAAAAAAAAGAAATGGAATAAATGACTACAACACTTCTTTACAGCTAATTCTTATATTCTCTCTCTTGTTTTATGATATTTGAACAGTAACTATCCTAGAAAAGCTGATTTATTTGTTATTATTGTTTTTTTATAGACGATCTTTGACCCTAGTCTTTTATCAGTAACGTTTCGTTAACACGGTTTAAAATCGTTTAAGTAAAATTCCCACATGTTTGGCACGTAATTTGAACGTATTTTTACATACTCTAGAATCAAAAATGATTTTCTTATTATACTTACATATGCAAAACTATCGTTGTCACTCCAAGAAGGAATGCAACAACCGATATCAGTGATGTTATCACTATAGATAACCAAATTGGAACTAAGGAACAAAGACAGTTTTCAGCATAAATTTATAAATATAAGTATAACAAGATTATAAAGTTTTAATACTTTCGTTTGGGGTGGGGTTTATAATCGGTATCTTTAAAATATTATTTTTCTTAAATTATAAATGCCAATAGTTAGTATATTAGTACGTAAATTACCATTCAATAAAGGGTAAACTCTAAGTTACAAATTACCTGATGAAATTGTGTTATCTATGTTTACTTTTATACTGCAGGAGATTTGATGAAATTCTTTATCCAATCTACAAGCAGCGAACTTTATGGTTAAAATAAGTTCAGAAGAATCTGTATAGCTTTCATTAAAGACAGCCATGTTGTTGAATATTTCTTTTGTGTTATTTGTTGAGATTTCTATCAAACAAGGAGTTGCTTTACTTTCACAAAGAAATATCATTGACAAAAACTGATTGGAAACTTCAGTTTCACATTGTTTATTTAACGAAATTTGTTTACCATTTATAAACAGTTTGCCTTGTGCATCCTTTATATCTGGAAATAAATTATACAAATTGTGTTTTTTTGGTGCTAATCCTCTCAGAGACTGGTAATTTAAGGAGAGGACATATTTAAATTATTTCCTTGTCCATTATTTAAGATTTTTGTTCGTTAACTAAACATCTCAAAAAATTATTATCTGCCGTTTAAGTTTATAACTATATGCATACGCACTATCTCAATTCTTTGATTTTAAATTCATTATTCTTTTCAATGGATAAACTATTTATTTAAGCTCAAATTTTTTGTTAAATATATTTTTCTACGTAGTTAAATTTAGTTTTATTTCTCATTTTATATTTACCGTATATTTTTGGTAAATGGTACGACTGCATTCCTTCCCATTTATTTAAAGAACATCGTAAATAAGCATCATTGAAATTTTTGTTTGCCAAAATCTTGCGGGAAAATACAATGTTGTCACCATTCAAATAGCACACATCGTTACTTGGGATGCATTCTTTATCGATAAACAATGGCCAAGGCTGGAAGGAAAATGTTATATTAACATGAAGAGAGAAATATATTTTACCTTTTAATATTATTTTATTTGATATTGTTTTGCATGTTTTAAAATTGTATATCTTTATGCAAAGTCGATTTAAGAAAATAAATCTACTGAACGTTAAATCTTCTTATTAAAAATGTTTAATGATAAAATTATTTATACACACATTATTCAAATGAAAATTAGCTTATAATGGTTCTTCTCCTACAGCTAAATTCCTATTTTTTAAAACCTTTTCATCAGTGATTCTAAATTTATGTGACCCAAAAACAATCGTTTTCAGCAACAATTTCACAGGTGTGCCACGAGAGCTTTGAAAAATATTAAAACAGTTGATATTTTTGTTTGATTGCTTGTCTTAACTAACAAAATATATCGTTAAAAATGTTAGGGATTCAAAGAAATTTATTTTCTGTTTGATATTATTTTTTTGTGTGCATCCCACGTGATAGGGGGAGGGAAGTATACAGAGTAAAAAGGAAAATGATTTTCGACTTGTCAGTAAACATTAATATCAAATTAAAGTGTATTTAAGGCTGCCCAATTCTGTTTATTTAAAAAAACAACAATTTAAATGGTGCTTGAGTTATGACTTTTTTTAAAATAAGTATGTATGTAAACAATTAGAAAATATATATATATTGCGGTATACATAGGTATGAAAAATATACATACAAATAATGTTTGTATATATATAATGTATATTTTTTTAAAAAAAGAACTCATTTTGAAATCATCAAAACCTCCCAAATATATTTTAATGCATGACCAGTTCTGTTTTTTTATTAAAATTCCGCTTCCATTATCAAACAAATTTTGAAAACTTTGCCAAAATATTTGCAGTCTGTCATGAATTAAGTCATTCAAGTCCGGAATTTTCCGAAATTTCAACCGCTTCAATCTTGACTTTTCTTTTTGCTTTGTAATGCGATGAATTTAAAGTTCAAGTAATTTCTGTACAACAAGGAAGTTCGTTGGTAACAAAGGAAATTTTTTCAGGCGTTTCACTAAGCTAAAAAGTTTAAGTGATTACCTTTTTCTTCATCTCTATATACTAAAGGCCCACGATCAATATACTGATCATTCTGGCACCTATGCATGTAGAAGTGATTTGAAATATGTCTGTGCATTGTGTTGTTGTTCTTCCAGGTAAGAGCTGGAATTGTCTGTCATGACCTAGTCTTTGTCTATGGGGGGACGGACGAATTTCTGTTTAATGCTGGAGCAATGTACCAAACCTTTATTTATCTTGTGCATTATGGACAACCTGAATAGTCGTCGTCGTTCCTCCAATGGTGACCAGCCTAGAGTTTCCAGCATGCTAGAAACACTTATTTATTCCTGAACCTCTCCTTGAATGGTAACACCCAGGTACTTTACGGAGGAAATTGGCTCAAGTATATGGCCATACAGTTCTTAATGGCGATATAGAGAGTACAAATTCTAGAGACTCACAGTGTGACATTCCAAGTCCCAGCTCATTTCACACTCAGCTAAGCTGCTTGGTCAATATGTCTTCTACAAATTCAAGGAGCTTGATGTCACATGATCTATTGACTCAGAAGCCATGTTGATATTCATTGAGTATATTCTGGCGTTCAATTTGCTTCATGACTGGGCTTACGATTATGTGCTCCAACAGTTTGCAGACCACGCTGGTGAGGGATAACGGACTATATCTTTGAGGTCGAAGAACTAGACTTTGAATTTTCTTTTGATCACAAATTTTTTTGGCTAAATGTTCAGTCTCTCAGTTTTATTCAAGAAACTAAATTCTCTGAAATTGCGCATTCAATATTCATCGGTAAACGGTAAATATTTTTTCAAAGATTGAAGCTACAGATTTCTGATCAGAATTTGTTACTTTGGAGACGTAAAACTTTGAAACAAAACCTTGGTTTTCCATAAACTCATTGAGTAACATTGAAAGCAGAAAATAGTTCCTGAAATTCTCGAAACTCTGAGCGGGCTACAGTTTAAATTTCAAGCAATTTCCCATCACTTGAGCTTGGCGAATATGGATTAGTTATCAATCTAATTGGAATTAACGAACCTTACAATTGAAGAGGGAGAGTACGTGATTGATTCAAGGTATTATACATTTTTTATCAGTCAATTTTAGTGAAGAGTGCTTGGACAAATTTTGGATTTAATTCAAGAAATCATAACCTGCAATCACTTATAAAGCATGCAAAATTCTTCTGTTCTTGGTAAATCCGTGGTTTTGCGAATTCAGTTTCTCGACTTTGACTGAAATCAAATCCAAAACGTGACACAGACTTCTTCGGATCGCTGACAAAATGCGAACTTGTTTGTAAATATTGGAGATTTGCTTCAATGTTTTATGCTCTTGAGAGCAGACTCAACATTTTCATTAAATGAATATTATAAAATAAATAATATTTAACCCACATTTTTAAAACATTTTTTCAGGTGTGAAGCGAACAATTTCAGAATAATTTAGTATGCCTTGATAAAAAAATAAATTATATAGATTCACCGTTATACATTATTATGCTTTTACAAATAGTCGTGTTAGTGTGTTGATAAATAAAATAATCGTACCGCATTGCAAAAAAGAAAAAAAAAAAAAAAAAAAAAAAAATTGAACCGCATTAAAAAAAAAAAAAAAAAAAAAAAAAAAAAAAGATACACATGTACACAGCAAATTTATAGCCAGAATAATTTTTCTTCGTACTTCTAAAATTAATTCTTTGAAAAGACAAATAACAGCCAGGTACATATGAATGCATTAAAAGAGATGTCAATATTTACATTTGGTTTATATTCTTTTTCGTTGATTAGTGCAAATTCCATTGTGTGTTCGCCATCGATATTTAGACAACATGGAACAATGCAAGTTAAGTGAATCATGTCAATGTTATTGAGCACTCCAGATTTACAGACACTATCACTTGTTCTGCTATGCATAGAGTAAAAATCAACGTCAGATAGAGCTGTAAACGTGAATGTATGTTTCCTGCATATATCTGTAAAAAAATTTATGATTTATAATAACAGTGATAGTACTTAAGAAACGAATAAACATTTTCATTCAGTGACTTATAAGCAATACGATAATTTTAAATAGTCTTTATTTACAATCATTTCAAATAGCAGTATAATATATATATAATAAAAATGGAAAAATTTAAACAAAATATTAATACAACATTGAACAGAAATTTAATGTTTATAATTTGCATATTTGAATCGAATTTTTGCCCTCAAATATTTTAATCCAGTTACTGCAAACATTAAGTCCTAAGTGATTTAAATGCAAAATTGCTCCAAATTATTAGTTTGTCATAAATAGTTTAAGTAAAGATGTTATGCCCATTTTTTAGTTTAATTTTTTTACAGGCGTGTCGTATCTGCTGAGCTTTCTGATTGGATGTCTGGGTCTGGGTGTTCCCGATTCCCAAACTGCTGGACATGAAATAACGGAGGCTCGGATCACAAGTGGTAACATTTACGGAGTGTTAAAAGTGGCAACATTTCCCCTTTCTCCAATTATTTTTAACCATTTATTTTGAATGTGTGTAGCTAGAGAATACAGTTTTGGCTGTTTGCCTTACAAAGAAAAGTTGTTTTTTTTTGTTGTTGTTGTTTTTCGTTTTTTTGCTCGCACACTGTGACGATGGTGTGGGCTTCCGATGAAAAAATCCACGAAATCCACACCGCTAGATAATCCAATGGAACATTATTTGGATGATCCAGCTCGGCCCTTAGATGAGTTAACAGCCAGGGTTAACGGATCCCATCCACCCGGGGTGCTGGTGATGTATTTTTGCTTGACTGGGCTATGGCTGGAATTGAACTCCAGACCATCAACTTGAGATTTGCTCAGTTTAGACCACTCGGCCACCCAACGGCAAAAAAACCTTATGTAACAGATATCTGTGTGTGAGGCATGCCCAATTTTGAAAGTACGGCCATTCAGTAAATAAAGTGCAATTTTATATAAAATGGAAGTAGAATATTGTTTTGAGGATGGCAATATCGAACAATTAAATGATGTAAGAGATAGGACAGTTCTTTTATAGATTTTTTAAAATAAATATTTATAGTTTCAATTCGTCAAAATTTGAACAAGAACAAGCAAAACTACGCAATGACAGATGAGCGTAACTGGTGTATAATTATTGCACGAGTAATACGGGAAAGAGTCTCATAATAATAAAATAGGTTATTTATTGTAAATACAATTTATACTAATAATAAAAATAATGTAAATTATTTTAAACATCGAATACATTTCTGTGTGTGACACATTATCAAAAAAATAGCTCTAACTTACTTCTTTTTACTGCAATCAAGCATTTAAAGTGGTTAACTTCTTTATCCAAAAGACACGCTGCGTACTTGACATTTAAAACAAGTATAGATGGAAAAGTTTGTGTTTGGTAGTAAATAACGTTTTCGCCTCCAAAGGTTTCATTGTTGACACTAGACGACAGTTGTATCATACATGGTGTTGCTTTACTTTCACATGAAAAAATAACTGATACAAAATCCTCAGAAACTTCTGTTGCACAGTGGCCGTGCTGTATGGTCAGTTCTCGACCATTGACAAATAGACGTCCCTTGGCGTCGGTTACATCTGTAAAAAGCAGTACGTAATTTCTCTTTCTCTTTTAAAATTATTTGTAATCTCATCTAAGAATGATACATAACGTTGCTTGAATAATGTTAAGTAAATAATAAATATTGGAACACAATTTGTTTTATATTATCCTAGGATTATTCTTAATTTATTGTATCACGAAATCTCTAAGTTTAAGTTTAGTTGTTGTTTTTTTTGTGTCTTTTTAATTATGAATTGTGATTTTGTGGTCATACATATGTTTCAAAGATGAAGAAACGAAAATCTCAGTAAATAATGAAAAGGATTACGGTAAAAGTAGAGAGGTAAACTGTTAGTGAACATATGCGATGATTAAGTCTGGGAGTTATTGAAAAGACTTGACAGAAAAGGAAAATGTCACAATTCTAAGTTATTAATTGTATTTTAAATATTTGAATATCGTGATGGTGTGTTCATTGTATAGTAAAATAGTTTACCTAAAAATTAACTAGTGTACATGACTTAAGATGCTACAAATGTTAAATGTGGATGCATTTTTACTCAGAAAAGTACATTTAGCGTTGCGAGTCTTTTGGACTTTCCATTATTAAAAAAACAGCTTTGACAATAAAAAATATGTTTATAGCAGAAATAAAGAGACTCTTATCATTGAAATGACTGTAGCAACAAGACAGAACATTAATGGGTCGTTTGTATCAATGGGAGGCCATCAAATGTATCAGAAAATTTGTTTTGAATTTATGTATACATGTATGTTGCATACATTCCCCGTGCTTGAATTTTACTTGACCTAAATTAGAATCCTAGCAGACAGTAACTTCTGTTTTGGGCGTGGCCTATTCGTTTGATGTATCTTGTTTACAACCGTGCTTACCAATTAAACATGCTAGACAGTCTTCCGAGTAGTTTCTCGAATGTGCTCGATAGCCCGAGAAATGTAAACAACACGTCATAAGTCTTTTTCTGGAAGGCAGGGCTTACGCAAACTATATAAGGGATTAAAAGGCTAGGACGGAGAGACGGAGATTAGGATAAGTTTTATTAACTTCACGAGACGTATATTATTCTTTGTGTTCTTATTTATGTGTTTATTTCGTATTTCATCATTATTCATTGGCTCATTATTATGTGTTAACTGTGTACCGGTACAAGATCTACCATACTGTAAGTTGATGATTTGTAATGATATTTTGTGTTTTTTTTTTGTAATTATCTTAAGACTTAATAAATCTTATTAATTGTAACTAGAAACAGCTTTGGGTGTTGTATCTTTAATATTGTTGACTCTATGGTATTGTTCTCTGTTGGGCGCTGTTTACAACAAGCCAATTAAAATTAAAATAGGAGATTAATTTCTCATATTAGAAGCCAGTGCGTAACAATTGGGTTGCTCATCCGGGATAGAGCGGACTCCATATTATTATTTCTCTCAAGTCCCCAATTGTAACAATTGTGGTAGCTCGTCCGTGATAACTGAATGAATATTATTATTTTTCTTCAGTCCCCAATTTTAAGAAATTGTGGGCTCTTCCAGGGATAACCGAATCCATACTTTATTCTCATTAGTCCTTAATTTTAACAATTGTGAGCTCTTCCGAGGATAACTGAATCCATAACTTTTAATACACTAATAATACATTGCGTGTTTGTTTGTGAATTTAGACCCACTGTTTACTTTAACATACTCAGACTGATTTTGAGTACACAATACCATTTTACGGTACCAACAACAGAGCTGGTTACAATTTTCTTTAAATTTAATTTTAATAAATGTGTTCACTAACCTTATTTTAAAAAAAAAATTAAAATAAGTTTTATATTTTGCCTGTGTAAAAATGGATTTTGATGTTGAAAACCCATCAGTAGATGCATTAGACAAATGTTCTAGGAAGGAGCTATTTTCCATTGCTAAAGCTCTAGGAATGAATGCAGCTCAAGCGGCAGTAAAAAAGACCGTACGAGATATGATCATCGTCCACTTAGTTGATGAAAAGGTGTTGTTGGAGGACGAAGTGGCCTCAGTCACACAACCGCATGATCCTAGTATGGAGCTTCAACTAAAGCTCAAACAAATGGAAATAGATGCCCATAGAGAAAAATAACGTGAGCTTAAACAGCTGGAGCTAGAAAAAGAACGTGAGCGTAAACAGCTTAAGCTAGAAGCACAGAAAGAGCTACAAATCAAATTAAAAGAAATGGAAATAACAGCCAATATGGGAGCAAAGGAAAATAGACTCACGGCTCCAGCCGGTCATGGTTGCGATGCAATTAAATTTTCAAAAGTAATCATTAAATTTGGAGAAAAAGAGGTTGACCAATATTTTGCACAGTTTGAAATAACTGCCCAAAATTTTAAAATTCCTGAAACTATGTGGTCCACCTTACTTCAACCAGCTTTGACCGAAAGGGCAGTTGAAGTCTTTGTGTCTTTAAACGCGGAACAGCGCGGGGACTATAACCTTGTAAAATCATTAATACTTAAGGCTTATGAATGTGTCCCCGAAGCGTACCGTAAAAAGTTAAGGGAGCTGTGGAAACACGATGGCCAGACTCATGTTAAGCTCCTCCGGGAAAAGGAACGACTCCTGGACAAGTGGCTCCACGCAACCAACACCTACACAGACTTTAAAAGTTCAAGAATTCTGATGGAAGAGTTCAAGAATTGTGTTCGTACAGAGGTGCGAATACATATTGCAGACCGTGTTGAAGGTGACGCACACACAGCACAGTGTTAGCTGACGACGTCACCATCTGACATCAACTTTCAAGGAACCCATTTGAAACCAGAAAAGACAGGCACAATAAGACAAGCGTATCCACTTACAGTAAACCTCCATAAAAATCATACACGCCTGGTAAAAAGAAACAAGTGAAAAAGACACATGTGCCTACTGTAAAAAGAAGGACATACGAGGGATAAGTGCTGAAAACTCAAGAAGAACACTGAGAAGACCATATTTCCTGGTACACAACACAAAGTTTCCGCTTGTACGTCTCGTCATACATCTGGAAACACATTTTCAAAATTCAAGAGTTTTTGCTCTCCAGTTGTCCATGCAAACTTCAAAGAGGTTTATCACGACTCATCAAAGAGTTTCAAAATGAACAATAAGGCTTGTTTTACTGACTCCAGCCAAGTTCCTGCTTCGACTGCGAGTTATGAGCTTGTCGCCAAGATCGTTTTGCTCCAAGAAGAGGTCTACCTCCAGGGGGCGTCTTACTGAGGACTTGTGTGCAAGTTTTGACGACTCTACCCAGAGTTTTACTTCCTCTAACCTAGCCGAGTGTTCTCAAGACTCCAACAAGAGTTTACCTACCAAGGTCCAAAATTCTACATGAGAAACTACTTATGTCATACAAGACTTCATGCCTTTCATATCGGAAGGATTCGTATCACTGCCAGGTGATTTGTCCAGTCTACGACCAATCAAAATTTTACGAGATGCAGGTGCTTTACAGTCCTTGCTACTTGAGGACATACTTTCCTTGTCTGAATCTACTGCTACTGGGAGCAACATCCTGTTACGAGGTGTAGAGCTGGGATGCAGTGATGTACCTTCACATAGCATCAATCAGAAATCAGACCTAGTTTCAAGACCTGTGGTTGTGGGTGTCTGACAAACATTACCATTGGACGGCATCTCGTTGCTGCTAGGCAATGACTTAGCTGGTGGGAAGGCAATAGCCGAACCCATCGTTACTCATGAAAATTGTTTAACTGAAAATCAGGAAGAAGATCAAGAATTGTATCAAGCATGTGCTGTGACAAGGGCCATGACTTCAAAGACTCCCAAAAAAGAGATTTCACAAAAATGCAATAACATTCTTCCTGAATTTGACCTGGTAAAAACATTTTTCGCCAGTCTAAATGAAGGGGCTGGTAATTACAAGACTCCAACTGGAATGCAACTTAATGAAGAGCAGAAGTGTGAGCCAGAAATAGTCAAACTTCGAGAGAACGCTTTGACCCAAGAAGAAGCTGAACAATTTCCTGTATTTTATTACCTTCAAGATGACATGCTTTTGAGAAAATGGCGACCTCCAGACGCAAAAACTGACGAAGAATGGAGGATAGTTCATCAAATAGTCGTTCCTACACCATTCCGGAACGAAGTCCTGAACTTAGCCCATGATTCACCACTTTCAGGCCATTTGGGAGTAAACAAGACATATCACAAAATCACGTCACACTTCTTTTGGCCCAAAATCAAGAAAGATGTGGTTGACTACTGCAGATCATGTCATACTTGTCAAGAAGTATGGAAACAAAATCAGAAGATACCAGCAGCTCCTCTTTAACCCATTCCAGCGTTCGAAGAACCTTTCAGTAGCGTGGTTATAGTCTGCAATGGAACTCTGCCAAAGACAAAATCAGGTCACAAAATCTTGCCGACAATCATGTGTGCGCAAAAAGTTTACCAGAAGCTATTCCAATTCGCAAAATCAAGACTCCAAACATCCTCAAAGCCTTGACGAAGTTTTTTTACATTGTTTGGTCTTCCAAAGTTGGTACAATCTGATCAATGAACCAACTTCAAGGCTTGACTATTCAAACAAGTCATGAACCAATTGGACATAGAGCACTGCTTGTCGAGTGCATATCATCCTGAGTCACAGGGAGCACTTTAGCGATTCCATCAGACGTTGAAGAACATGATGAGAACCTACTGCCTAGAACAAGAGAAAGACTGGGATGAAGGCATCAACATGCTACTGTTCGCCGCAAGAGAAGCAGTTCAAGAATCACTTGGATTCAGCCCCTTCGAACTGTTATTTGGCCACACGGTTCGAGGTCCCCTTAAACTTTTAAAAGACATGTGGATGTCATTGACACCCACGGAAGAACTTCTTGAATATGTCCAAAAAGTTAAAAGTAAACTTTTTAATGCCATTAATTTGGCTAAAACACATTTAAAAGATTCACAATCTAAAATGAAAGTTTGGTATGACAAAAAGTCAAAATTCAGACAGTTTGCTTTAGGGAAAAAGTGTTTGTGCTTTTGCCGATACCAGGGCAGGCACTAAAAGCTAGACATTTTGGTCCTTATGTAGTAGAGTCCAAAATTAATGATTTATATTACATTGTGTTAACACCAGATCGTAAAAGAAAGAAACAGTTATTTCGCATTAATATGTTTAAAGAATAAGTTGATAGAAAATTAAATGTGATTATCATTGTCCATCCTCGAAACCTTCAACTGTAACTTCAGTACTTAAAGAAAATGTTGCTGAAACCTTTGATAGTGTCTCAGAAAAGGTTGGTAATTATAAACTAAAAATTCAGAAGTATTTGTCAACTTAGATAAGAAACTAGGACATTTGTCATTGTCAGAGAAGGATGTTGTTAAATATCTTATTGCAGATTTTGTTTTACTCTTCCCTGATGTGCCTAATAAAACGAACATTGCTGTACATTATGTTGACATTGGCAATGCAGTTCCGGTCAAGCAATACACCTATATTTTCAATCTGGAAAAGCTTGAAATAATCCGGTCTGAAATAAAATACATGATTGAACCAAGCTCTTGTACTGGAGTTCACCATGAATTTTTGTCCCAAAGCCTGACAAAAGTTACAGGTTTTGTACTGACTTAAGAAAAATGAATGCATTTACAAAGACTGATTCCTTTCCGATTCCAAGGATAGACGAACTTATAGATCGAATAGGTGATGACAATATGTGACCAAGATAGACCTACTATCAGGGTTTTGGCAGGTTCCTCTATCTAACAGAGCGAAAGAAATCTCTGCTTTTTGTACTCCAGATGTTTTATTCCAATACAAAGAAATGCCGTTTGGAATGGAAAATGCCCCGGCTTAAATCCAACGTCTTGTAATTAACATTAATGCTGACCAGGAAAATTGCAGCGCCTATATTTAATGATGTAATTATTTAAAGTCAAGATTTTTCAACTCATGTAAAACAGTTAAGATCTCTGTTTAAAAAAAATTTTGCAGGCAAATGTAACTGTAAATTTAGATAAATGTGTATTTTGTCATGCAACTGTGAAATATTTAGGTCACATAGTGGGTCAGCGTCATGTAAAGCTTGTTCAAGCTAAGATAAATGCTATTGTATCACTTTCACAAACCTTTTCTAGAAAACTGTTCATGAGATTTTTGGGAATGGTGGGTTACTATAGAAAATGTTGCACAAATTTCTCAGGTATTGCTTCTCAATATGTTAAAAAAATGCAAAATTGTATTGGTCAGATGCTTGTCAGGAAGCATTCAAAAACATTAAAAATATAATTGCTAATACTCCTGTTCATATTGCACCAGACTTTAACAAACAGTTTAAAATAGCTGTAGATGCCAGTGATGTTGGCATTGGTGCAGTTCTTTTTCAAGAAGATGACCACAGTGTAGATCATCCTGTCTCTTTTTTCTCATTAAAAAAAAAATTAACTCTCATCAGACAACTATTCCACAGTAGAAAAATAATGTTTAGGTTTAATTTTTGCACTCCAACAATTGGATTTGTATGTAAGTTGTTCTTTACATCCAGTACTTGTTTTTACTGATCACAATCCTTTAACATTTTTGAATAAGATGGTCTCCAAAACTCAAAGATTGTTAAGATGGAGCCTATTTTTACAAGAATGTAATTTGGACATCAAAAATATTAAAGGCAAAGATAATGTCATTGCGGATACTTTGTCCAAAATTAATTTTCACTAATTTTATTGTTTATAAGCTGTTAAGAAGCTTTTTGTCTCATATTTCGAAAGTAAGAAATGTACTTTCTTCAATTTTTAATGGAGAGAACATTCCATTTTTGAAAAATGAATTTTTTTTAAGAGGTGAGGTGTTATGTAGCATACATACCCCGTGCTTGAATTTTACTTGACCTAAATTAGAATCGAGCAGACAGTAACTTCTGTTGTGGGCGTGGCCTATTCGTTTGATGTATTTTGTTTACACTAGTGTTTACCAACTAAACATGTTAGACAGTCTTCCGGGTATTTTCTCGAATGTGCTCGATAGCCCGAGAAATGTAAACAACACGCCATAAGTGTTTTATGGAAGGCATGGCTTACGTGACCTATATAAGGGATTGACAGGCATGGACGGAGAGACAGAGATTACGATAAGTTTTATTAACTTCACGATACGTGTATTATTCTTTGTGTTCTTATATATGTGTTTATTTCACATTTCATCATTATTCATTGTCACATTATTCTAACTGTGTTAACTGTGTACCGGTACAAGATCTACCATACTTTAAATTGATGATTTGTAATGATATTTCTTTTCTTTTGTAATTATCTTAAGACATAATAAATCTTATTAATTGTAGCTAGAATCTGCTTTGGGTGTCGTATCTTTAATATTGTTGACTCTATGGTATCGTTCTCTGTTAGGCACTGCTTACAAGGAGCAAATTGAAATTAAAATAGGAGATTAATTTCTCATATTAGATGCAAGTGCGTAACTGTATCTACAGGATAAAGATTTGTAAATTAAGATAATTCAGAGACAGAGATGAGGAGATAAAGAGGGCTATTGAGGATGAGGAGATGTTACTTTAAGGAGAGGAATGATGACTTGAGAACTCATCGCTCATTGCAATTACTATAGGTTTTGAAAGATTTCGAAGAAGTTATTGAGCGTTTCGGATTTTGGTTAAATTTTGCATAATTTAATCCCAATTGCCTAGAATACGCACAATAAAATATTTATATAGGACGTTGTTATAATTTCTATTCTTAATTACAGACTAATTAGATATATACTGTATGAAAAATAAACAATTGTTAACACAAATAACTTACCACTTATTTCAGGAAATTTCCTATATTCTGTTATTTCGTTCTCTTCCTTACTGCCATATTTTGTAACCTGTATTGTAGCCCCATTAAAAGCTCCAAGAACTGGGATCCAGCAATTAAATGACTTTCCATCAGAGGAAACGGTGTGCCTCAAAATCTTCAAAGTATATTGGTCAATAATGTATACACTAAATGTTAATAGCGAAAATATTTGCCGTTTGTTTTAAAGACAAAAAATTAAGACTATTTAAAATGTAAATCATGAAATTATATAAATAACAGTAGTAATTTAAGCATGATTGAAGCGCTACGACGATTATTCAAAACAAACAGGCAATAATTAAAGGTATCCTATAAAAAGAACAAGGTTTGCTTAACGACGTCTATTTTGCTGACGAAACGACAAGTTTGCTTGACAAATATAACATCTTTAGGTTTTAAGCATTAATTTTTTTTTGAAATTCAATCCCAAGTAATTACAGGCTTCAAACATTTGACAATTGTAGGCCTATTTGTTTTTTTATTTGCATTTAACATCATCCTCAAAATTCGTATGTCTTATTGAATGCCTTATTAGAAACGATTCGATGTTAGATTTGAATAATTTGTGGTCCGATCCTACAAAGCCGAGTTGTGTTCTTAATATCTAAATGTCAAAAATTTTTACATTTTTCATCAGAAACGTACGCTGTTTCAACTTGTCTAAGTTCAGGTTTTTCCATACCCTGCGCTTTATTTTTTTTAATGCTTCAATCTAAATGCAGCCCTCCCCATATTCTACTTTACCATATATTACGTTAATTTTACAGAACCTTTGAAATCGCATTGTAGTCTTTTATAATTGAAAATTGTACTGAATCAACTGGTGAAGTTTTATTGCAATGATGATAAGATACTTTAATCTCATCAATGTTACTAAGAAGTCCATATTTGCAGACGCTATTACTTGTCATCGTTAGTTTGGCTAACATTGTGCCAGGGCTCAATCCTGCATGTTAGAATAAATTTAATGAAATGTTCATAAATTGTATAATATGAATTGATGCCTACATTTTTACACGTGATTTTTTTTTAACTAAATAGTTTATTTGTTCATTTGTTTTTTTTTTGTTTTTTTGTTTTTTTTAAATTATTTTTAATTAATGGTTTTCAAACAAAGAATTGTATTTTTAATGGTAACATATAAAAATAATAAGCTAATTAAAATTTAACACTTTTAAATATAATTTTGAGTTTAATTATTGCAATTTTTTCAAACATAGCCATCCAAATAAATAAATTTTAATAATATAGTAATTAAAGCACGCTTAACTAAATAAAATGGATTAGATTTTAACGGAATGATGAAATTTTTTACTAAGCTAACATTATGACAAATTGCATTAAGTATTTTTGTTTTCCTAGTGGAGAAATATTAAGGGCATTCGGGTCTTATACCTGCTTTGAAGACTGCCTTAAGTGATCTGCACCAGGCACAATTGAACGAAAATGTTAACTTATTTCGTAGGAAATAGCTAAACAAATGTTAATAGAAAGGTTAAGATTATTCATCTTTGTTTTAACTTTAAATCGAATTTGTGCCGTTGTTATCGTTAATGACATAACACCTTACCTAGCAATATAAACAAAACAAAATGTAATTTGAAGAGGATCAAATTTGGATCTCCTGACATTTTCGTAATGTCTTTTATAACGCCTGTAGATATAAATGCTAAAAATGTATAAAAATGTGTTAGTTAGAAAGTAATACAGGAAAAATGATGAAGGAGTTTACTTAATTAATTTTTAGAGCTAACTTGCTTTTTATTTGCTTTTACAATTATTATTAATAATTATGAAATGTTAAACCTGTAAATATTCTTAATGAATTATTTGTGAGCACTTTAAAACTAAAAGGCCCAAAAATTGTATGGAAAAAAATCTTTCCTGTGTTTTAAGACAATACTTGTATTCAACATGAACTATTTTTCTTTACCCTTAAGGGCATGCCTAAACAGGTATATCAAGCATTTCCTTTTTTAAATATTTTTTTAAAATTTGAAATGTACTAAATTTACAAGGTTTCTTTTTAAAGAGAAAATAACAACATTCAATGCTTATAATATATTAATATACATTGCTTAAAATAAGTAATATAATTTTGTGATACGTTAACCGTATCCACCTTGATCTGACAAAAACGCCAAAAGATAAATCATCTTGGGGAAATCCGTTCTGAAATGTAAGTCATATTTTATTTTTTTTGGCAAAATTATTGTACGTTTTTTTCTTTGCTAGTATGTTCTTCTAAAAAATATTAGAAGCATTTAAAATTGCAAAGATTTGTACCCTAAATAATTAATTATTAAATACCGTTACAATATAATATTTGATTTATTATTAGAGCATAACCTTAATAAAATCCTGTTTCAAATTTATGCCCGAAGGTATTTTTAATTGACATAATCATTTAAGAAAACATGCGATAAAACATTAGATGTTTTTATTGTTTCAAAAGGATGGAAAAGATAAGATTGAAAATATTGTTTTCAGTCTCGAAAATCTATGCATTTTCTTTCCAGTATTAAATCAAAATATCCTACAGCATAAGTGCTTTACTCGATCCCCTTTACATTCATTTTTTTCCAAAGCTTTAATTTTAATCATTTTGAATGTCATTATACATTTCGCATATCATATTAAATCATCCATGTTCTGACACTGTTAAGTCTGGTGTATCAAAATAATAAACACAGTCAAAGGAAATTAAAGTTTAATTAAAAGCTTTGGTTTCAGTTTATGGTCGTTACTTACAGTGGAGTATGTAAGGGATGAGGGGTAGTGGACAGCACTGGTTGACACCATCTCAGGTGTGACATAAAAATTGAAAATTTGCATAAGGTACAGAGCACACACTGCTTATTGTAGCCAAATTTCATAACAAGATCAAGATAAGAGATCACAAGTAAATTTTCCAAACATATAATCAAGCCAAATACGTGCTTTATAAAAGGGGCAAGTCTTTTGCGTCAGAAATAAGGGGATCCTATAAGTATGCTAGAAAACACCTTTTTGAACATGATTTAACGTCGATGGAATTTTTCAATAACTTTCATAACAGATAGGAAGCTACATTTATCTACATTCTGGGAAATTAAACTTTACAGTGATACCAAATACGATATGGTCTTTAGATTCTAAGTAATGAATTGAATCTGTAAAAAAAAAAAAATTTAAAATATGGCATTTTTACCCATTTATAGGTTTAACAAATAACGCTCTACATAAATTTCTAATATCTTTCAATAATTTATTTCAATTTCTTCAATTTTTTAAAAAGGATTTTCAAAAAAATATATTGAAATAATAAATATTTAAAAAGGTAATATTTTCAGCTAATCACAATTATTATCTACCCTTAACATTTAAACATGATTGACAGGTTTGCAGATTCAAAGACCAGGAAAGGAAAGATGTAAATATAGTAAATTTAATGTTAAAATAAATATAACTTAACGTTGTAGTATATTTCAAATACATTTACCTCCTTCAATAAATTTTGTTTTTTGTTCTTTTCATTGCTATTCTTTGACTTATTTTACTAATAAAAATCTATCATTGGAGTCCGAGGCAATGTTTCTTTCAGAAATTTGACATCTCGTGGGGTATCGTTTCAAATTTTCTGTGGGGGGAGGGGGGTGGTGGCTGTGGCCAGATGCATAGCTCAGGAGTGATAAATTGACATACGTCACGGGCCAACAGATTTATTTCTTTCAGAAATTTGAAATCTCGTGGGGTTTTGTTTAAAATTTTCTGTGGGGGGGGGGGGGTGGTGGCTGTGGCCAGATGCATAGCTCAGGAGTGATAAATTGACATACGTCACGGGCCAACAGATTTGCGAGGGGACCAAAATAGGCATTGATGGTATTTAAATGTTTAAATTAATTAGTTTTAGAGTTTAGGGGGAGGCATAAAAATGATTCATGTCTCCTGACACCAAACAGACTAGCTACACCCCTGCCTGTGGAAATCCTAATCACATTAGTTTTTTGAGAATGTAAAACATTACAAATAAGAGATGATGAGATGATTTCCTTCAAGCCACCTAAATTCAAGCCCGTTATATGCCCAAGCTCAGTTGATAAAAAATACATTTCACTCGAAGGCCACTAAGATTGTACTACCAACTTTCCGAGCACATTGTGATTTTGACGGAAAACGTTTAAATTTCAGCTCTACGTCCCCAGATCAAAAATTAAAACCAATAAGACAACCAACAAAAGTGATTTCAACGTTTTACTGATTGATATTAAATATTTAATTTGTTTCTATATAAAATCATACAGTTATTTGTTACAATTGTATTATTTAATATAGATATGTGTAAATAATAGACTTATTTTTTTATTAGTAATTCCGAATAAATATCCTACTTTGTATGTCAGACAATTCCTGCACAGGCTTAAAAATATTTGTTACGAAGATAATAATGATATTAATCTTTTCTTAAAATTAAAGGAAAAACTAATAAAGCATTTACATAACAATTGGATGATCATTATTTTTTTTTTTAAAAGTAAAATTAACCTATACTAATAAATAAAGATAACATTTTTATATTGTTGTTTTATCGAACAAGTATTTACCTTGTTAAGCTTGTAAAACAAATTTTGAAAAAAGTACATCAGAGTTGAATTAAGGCGACCTCGCATATTGCCATTGTATTTAATTTAATTTCTTTTTTTTCCGAGATGATGATTTAAATACATTGTGTGTACAATGTAAATTATGCAAAATAAACGTTTTCTATAAATCATCATTTATATTGAAATCAAGAGGCATCAGATTTAAAGATTGTGATGACAGAAAATCCTTTCTCTAATAGCTTTCTACATTTTGATGTTTATTCCTGTTAATGACTTTGAACCGCTTTATCAACCAGAAATGTATCATGACATAGATTTAATAAAATGTTCGACTGATACATGTCAAGGATATGAGACTCACTGTTGTTATGTGTAGATTATTGTTTCAAGGTGTGACAAGGAAAAGATTTTTAGTTAAAGATTTTATGTGTAGCTGTATCGTTTGTGTGAGAGTGTTGTGACGTAATTGTGTAGTGGGAAGTGACGCGTTAGTTTTCGTTGTTGTTAAGATAGATGGCGGTTGTTGTGCTGAGAGAATTGATGGCGGATATACTGGATGAATTGTTTGGATTGGTATATTGAGTAATGTTTGGTTGGAGTGATTTTATTATCAAATTCTGAAAGTATACATCAAGTCTTGTTCATCGAGTAGTGTTAAATAAACTCCTATCTAGCTACAAACCTGTTAACGTTGGTTGTATTAGTAACTGTTTATATTAGCTATATTGTAGACTAGTAGACACTCATTGCCATTAGTGAATAATTACAACACAACGGATTCAACGTCTCGACATTGGGAGCTTGTCTGAACGGATCAATGGCTTTTAAGTATCATCCTCGTCCGATTATAGACTTATCCTGTCTGAAGTTTGGAAGTATTATCGTCCAAAACTAGGAAAAAGCTGTGAAGTGTCAGGCCCGTCCGAACTAAGTTGTGAAGTGCAATCCCCGTAAGGGGCTGTGCAGGATTATCTCCGCCGAACCTGTGTGTTGCCCGCTTGAAGCTGTGTGTCGCTGTCCGGCACTAAAGTATCAACCTGTGCAGGGCTGTGAACATCGACCGTCTGCTGTATGTGACATCGTTGAACATATGTCGGAGACTGTGTGTTTTCCGTCAGACAGAAACGCCTCTAAAGCTGTGAAATATCATTCCCGTTCGAAGCTGTGAAACATCGACCCGTCCGCTGTGTGAAGTATCGTTGGACATCTGTCCGTGCTGTGTTTCGCTTGTCCGAAATTGTCTGAGGTGCTCGTCAGAGGCTGTGTGTCTCCTATCCCAGCTGAAGCAACCGCCCAATGCTGTGACACGCTGATTGGTGTGCTCCACTGAGCTTTACACTACTGTTGCTGTACACCTTGGTGACTATTCAACGCTGTTGCTGTAAACCGCTGATGACGTATTCTGCCGCTGTGTGCCGCTGATTGCTGTGTCCTGCTGTTGGCTGTATTTTGCTGATAACTCTATTCCGCTGGTTGCTGTACACCGCTATTTGCTGTGTCCCCCCCCCCCTGTCCTTGGCACGAAGCAAACCACCTACGACCAGATCGTCACTGTGCCGCATCCAGATCATCGCCGCACCTACAACCGGAGCGCCTCTGCATCTACAACCAGATCAACACAGTGCCTGCTACCGGGTTAACAACGTACGCTCAAATCGGAAACTATTGCTAAAAAATGTGACATTATTATATTGTGTGTGGCGTGGTAAAGTACAGGCCAAGTGAAGACAAGTCAAGTAAATTTAGGTAAAATAGTTAGATTCTCGATTATTATTATTGTTATAAGGTATTAATATATTAATTATCTAATATATAGTTAAAAGCTGTGGATTTTTAGAATTTATATTTTGTAATATTTTGTAGAGATAAATAATTATAAATGGAAACAAGAAGCAAAGCTAATAGAACCATATCGGAAATAATAGCCGAAATTCGGGAGGTGGGAGAAAATGACTTCAGATTTAAGGGACAGGAGTTAGATACATATTATTATATAGGGGAACAATGGGGAAGAATACAAGAAGAGGAGCGAGAAGAAAAGAGAAGAAGGGAAGAAGAGGAGCCAGAAGAAAAGAGAAGAGTAGAAGATACGGAATAAGAACTTAAAAAATTAAAATTGGAAGCATTTAAAGAAATTGAATTAGCAAAAATAAAAAAAATGGACTTACACAACGTAATAGTGACGAAAAAATTCACAACAAAAATTACCACTTACTCAAATGCCTCCCTAAATACGACAGCGACAAGGAACTGGACGACTACATTGTAAACTTCGAAAACATTGCGAGACAAAACGGGGTACCTTTCCAATAAGTGGCAATATATATTGTTGGACCCCTACAAACGAGCACTAAGAAAAATAGATATATACTTACATTAATTGATATGGCAACCCGGTGGCCCAAGGCAGTTCCATTGAAAAATGTGACAACATGAGACGTATGTGAAGCACTAGTTAATATCTTTACAAGAATGGGTTTTCCTGAG